AAGGAAGAAATACTGGCGTGATATTTGTGATATTTCTATAAAAATTCAGTTTATATAAATGCAGAATATTTTAGGCTAAAATGCGTGAGCGCACTCTTACGTGTGTGTGTGTGTGTGTGTGTGTGTGTGTGTGTGTGTGTGTGTGTGTGTGTGTGTGTGTGATTATCTGTGAGTATATGTGAGTATGAGTTTTACTTGCATGTGTAAGTATGTGTTTTACTTGTGTGTGTGTATGTATGTGTGTATGTATGACCGGCCATATGGTAGTATGTAGAGCAACATGGTCTCTCAGGTTCACAACAAAGACTTTTCCCACAGTGTTGGTGATGAGTGGTGAAGACTGTCTACCCCAGGCATACCACCACCAACACGTTACACTCTGAGACTCTTGTTACACCAAAGAGACTCGTTACACCAGCAGGTTCCCTTGTGTACCTCAACTATCCTACGTCCGTCAGTGACACTCTTCGAAAAAGTTGGGTAGTGACTGTCGAAGGCTGGATATGTTCATTGATCATCCCAGACTATTTTTTTTTCATAATGATAACAGCCACCGGCTCTGTGGTTCTAGGTAGCGACCTGAAGAAGGAAGAGGCTGGACTAGAGCTGAAGAATTCGCCTATGTACAAAATGCCGGTACTAATGCAGTAAATCAAAGTGCTTGGTATTTACACACTATTTGTGCTCGATAAAATGTCATTAGTGGTGAGCGTAAGAGTCAAACTGTAAATGAGATTGACAAAAATACAGGTGGAGGTAAGTTGATGAGTCATCCACCTGTCCTGGTACACCGTGATGCAAGCTTCGTTATAACATGATATATGCCCCACATCTATCCATCCACATGAATTAAGCGCCATGTCATGAAATAAATATCATTGATGTATAAGATGTATTATATATTATAAAGTCAGGTGCAGTTGTGGTTGGTAATTTTTGTATAACTCTTGTTTTATGACTTACACTACAGGGAGAAGTCTTTTAGAAAATGTTACTTGTAGGTGGACCAATGTCTTTTTCCTTCTCTCCCACCAGTGAAAGTAACCATACATACACACACACACACACGCAGCATCACAGTTTTCTCTGCTATATTTTTTTAATATATTTCTGTCCTTTATTGCAGAGAACTATTAATCGTTTCGGCTTATAAATATGGACAATTCGGTTCACGCGGATAATGTTCTCTTAGCACGACAAAAACAACAGATAATTTATGTTTCACTTTGATTTAGTCTTTCACATCCACTGGGGACCAATGGTGTCTTCCTCTGGACGTCCTTCGCATCACAGGGATTCAACACTGAGACACTTTCGCCTCCCTTCTGCACTCACACAACACTACCTCAAGATCTGGTGCAAGACCTCTATTGTATTGTACATGTCGACACTACTGTAACGTACATTTAGATACCACTGTAACACTATTTTGTACAAGTCGATACCACTGTACTCGTAACACTGTGTTGTATAAGTCGACACCACTGTAACACTGTGCCATACATGTAGACACCACTGTAACGCTGTGCTGTACATGTAGACACCACTGTAACACTGTTCTGTACATGTAGACACCACTGTAACACTGTGCTGTACATGTAGACACCACTGTAACACTGTAGCAATGTTATTTTAGTCTCATCTTGCCTTCTATATCACTCTCGACAAGTTTATATGGACATTTGTATGCACGTCTTAATGTACAGTTAAAGCTAAAGCAATGGTTCTCTTCTCTGGTCACACACACACACACACACACACACACACACACACACACACATATTTATAGTTATTATATACTCCTTCAATTCAATATAACTCTCATATATCTTGATATAGTCTTAATATATCACAACCAAAATCACTCCCAGAAATATAATTTTCACTGTACATAAAATTGAACATCTGGATATATTTTGTCTTCGGTCACAAAATGTGTTCTTCTGTTCATAATGTTCTAATGTTCATCACTTCTCATAGTACTTAATCTACTGTTCTTCACGTCATAGTAGTCGTTCTTCTGTTCTTCAAGTCATCTAAGTATGCACATATTTTATACAAAGTCGTGGGGTCTACTGTATAATCTCACATCATTTTTTTTATCATAAACATACAATATATTTTTTTCCTCTACATAATTTTTGTTTTGATTGACTAAACATTGGCTTAAGTATCCAGGTTCACAGTTCAGATCACATAAATTTCACAACATTGAACCCGTGTCTCTCGTTATAGCTTGTGAGCGCAGATGCGGGTGGGCAATGGGCAAGAATAGGATAATAGTGATCAGGCAATGAGTATGGGAAGGCAATTAGTGGGTGGGCAAGAAAGGGGAAATAATGGGTTGGCATGAGACAGTAGTAGAGAGAGAGGCAAGATGAATAAAAAAAATAGTAGAGGGTAAAAGAGGATAAATGAAGAGGAATATCTAGCAGGTAAGAAGGAAATGAACTGTTTGGGTTATAAGAATAAATTTGTGGTTTTAGATAACATGGGGGAGGTGAGAGGAGTGAGGAAGGTGATAATGAGGAAGAGGAAGAGTGATACTAAAATGGGAGGAGGGGGGGATGTACAGTACACTACATTCTACTGAGAAGAGGAGGAGGTATACACTAGACTATTGTGGGATACACCTATTAAGTAGGCATATATTCATAGACATAAACTTATGATATATACATATACATACATGTATATAGTTGTATATGCATGGCCAGGATGAAAGCAGATAATATACAGCTGTGGAACCTTATAATGTATAATATTAAGAATGAATCAATCACTTAGAATAATGTATGTATGTATGTATGTATGTATGTATGTATGTATGTATGCATGTATGTATGTATGTATGTATGCATGTATGTATGTATGAGGTATGACCAAGTTGATATGAAATATGTAAATGATTTGACAGTGTAAATGAGCCAAATAGTGTAAGTAACTCGTCAGTGAAAATGAGTCGATATGAATGAAAATGATTCTCTTACATTTTATTTAATAAAGTGGAGCTGTAAATATAAGTGGCCATGGTAATGTGTGTGTGTGTGTGTGTGTGTGTGTGTGTGTGAGAGAGAGACAGAGGTGGTAGAGAAATGCTTGTAAACATGACCACGTGAGGTGTATATTAAAAATACTATAAACATTGGTGAAAAGTGAATTCTATAAACTTGATCACACGTTTAAGTGAATTAAATGTAAACATTATCACGTGAGAGATGACAATTTTTTACATTATCACGAGAGATGACAATTTTTTACATTATCACGTAAAAGATAAATAAAATGTCAAAATAATCACACAAAACCACATCAGGGCTTTAACGCGGCGCTGTGGACGGGTGTTCAGTACAGTGAAGCGGTTCTCATCGAGGGAGGCACACAGCGACACGACATAAACTTCCCAATACATCACCACGTCTTTCTCCTACCCAGCACGGCAGATCACCTCAACCTCAAGCACTCCACCCTCTTCACACCTTCAGCGAGGGATACGGTCATCAAAACATCTGCCAGACCGAATATTTTGTTATTGGTCTATATTGAGTCACGTAGCCGTCAAGGACATTTCTTTGTGCCTCTTGAGTAAGATACATACAAAAATATTGTAATGTTTTGGTCATGTCAGGATATCACATGAGCGTTATCTTGCCCAGAACGTCTTATTATGTTATTACTATTAGATATGCCTTTGTGGTCAGTTTATTTACCATGGAGTCATTCTGTTATTGCGATTCTTTAAGTCAGAAAACTGAATGCAAGTAAAAACAGTTCTTAATTAGTTGTGATAAGATAATTAGCAAGTATTTATTGAAAAAAAAAAGACAATTTAACTGGCGAGTTCTTATGATTAACATTTTTGACACAAATTTCAAACTTTCCTGAGTCTAGGTAAACGACATCGACCAATGGTACACTCAGGTCCTGCGTGAATTACTGTATTATAACAGCAACATTGTCCTCACCTGTTGATGTGTGAGGTCTCCCACAAGTGAGGACAATATTGCTGTTATAATCAAAAGTATTCAAATGATCTCCACGAAAATATGTAAACCAGTGTGTATATTCTTTTTGATACACACAGTATATTATCCATAATCATATTTGTATACATTTATCATCAACACAATCGTTCTGTATGACTGCTGTATCCTCTGATGTATGTGTTCATATCCGTATATCAAAAGCTAAGGTATTTAAGCCATCGTACTCAAGGGTCTAAGCCATTGTACTCAAGAGATTAGGCCATCGTACTTAAGAAGTTCTGCACAGTACACACGATCAGTTTCTATACTAGACATAAATTATTGTATTTATCAATGATGTTTCCATAAGTGGTTTGTATGATCAAGTGTCAGTGAGACAACTACACACATGTTCTCTCTGTTGTTGAGGAAGATATCATTTTTTTTTCAGGCTTTTCCTGATGAGCAGCCGTGAATAATACTATGGTTGGGGGGAGGGCATGGGTTATTATTGCAGGAAGAGGGAGGAGGGGAGGAGGGAGGAGGAGGGGGGAGGAGGGGGAGGAGGAGGAGGGACTAGAGGAGAGAGAGAGTGGGGGGGGGTAAAAAGAAGAGGGGGGTCAATAATAGGAGTTGATGAATCCTGAGTAGAAAACAGTGAAGTAAACAAAAGGAAAAAGATGAAAGGAAAATGAGAAAAATAAATAATTAAAAATAAAAGCTATAAAGAAAAGACTAAAAAAAAAGAAGAAAAAATATGGGAAAACACAAACACACACACACACACACACACACACACACACACACATACATACACACACACACACACACACACACACACACACACACACACACACACACACACACACACACACAAAGAAATATAGGTTGTGCACCACTATTGGTAGGACCGGCCCCTCGCCTTGATGGGATGGGAGTGAAGGCTGGAGGCATCTGTAGTGTAGGGAGAAAATAAGGCAGTAGTACACACCTTACTCAAGCTCTCACCTAATCAAGGTCAATATGAAGTTCAGATCGAGGTAAATGATTTTATTTCTTCTTTCACAAACGTCAAAGAAGATAATTTATTCTATACCTATCACAAACTTTTTATTTTTCCACTTATGATCAATTATCTAACTTGGAAAAAACTACGCAACAAAATGATGCATCAATCTAAACATAACTAACCAAAACCCCATCTAATTTAACGTAACCAAATGATCAATGAATGTATTTTAGTTAAGTCAGGTAACGTTAGCTTAGATTAGGTCTGGATTCGTGGGGTTTGTTTTTCCTTCTTTGTACAAAACAATATGATACCTCAGTCACCATGATGAAAATAGACCACGATACTGACCTTCATAATTACCTATAATAATAATAATAATAATAATAATAATAATAATAATAATAATAATAATAATAATAATAATAATAATAATAATAATAATAATAATAATAATAATAATAATAATAATAATAATAATAATAATAATAATAATAATAATAATAATAATAATAATAATATAAACAGTTTTGCTATAAATGGACAACAAAATCCAGACCAAACACCTGGATGATGTTCCTAGGATAAAGTTTCAAGACAAATTCTAGGATAAGAGTGGAGTCCTCTGCCTGGTGTTCTCAGTATTACCACCACAGTTGATATCATGACTTTGAAGACTTGTAAGCTCAAAGACGTTTAATCTTGACAGTGATATCTAGAGTGACACTGTGGATGGTAGTTATTCATGTCCAGAGACTTGATATCCTGTGTGTTGTCAGCAGAAGTAAATTTGATATCGCGTGTGTGGCCACCAGAAGTAAGCTTGATACCATGCGTGTGGCCACCAGAAGTAAGTTTGATATCGTGCGTGTGGCCACCAGAAATAAGCTTGATATACTGTGTGTGTGGCCACCAGAAGTAAGCTTGATGTACTGTGTGTGTGGCCACCAGAAGTAAGCTTGATATGCTGTGTGTGTGGCCACCAGAAGCATATATCGAGAAAATTGGTTCTAGATCTTTATGTCTATACCGAGGAGCTGAAGGTGTGGTGGTACTTGAGGGTGAAGTTACCACTCGAAGTAGACGGCCCAGTAGAGGAGGTTGAGGACAGTGAAGCTGAGAGGAAAGGCCACTCTGGAGAACCTGTCCACCAGGATGGCCTTCTCTCTGGCCTCCTTCATCTCTGTTGCCATGGACTTTGGCAGGTTAGGTGTCGATCCGTATTTAGGGAGTATCCCCAAGGAACTCGGAGGTGGGGCGGGGGCGTGGTGTGGGTGCTGGTGATGGGCGTGAGGGATTGGAGGTCCTGCAGGCATGATCCTAGGCTCTCCTTCTGGATCCCCAAAGCCTCCATTCTCAGCCTCTTGGAGAGTCACGTCCCCACCGTTCTGAAGGAGAAAGAAATGTGTAAGAGTCAGGTCATCCCGGCAGGAGGTGTAAACGGAAAGGAACATTCATATGCGTAAGGTGGGCTGGTATGGTTAGGTTAGGTTAGGTTAGGTTAGGTTTGGTTAGGTTAGATTAGCTTAACTTGGCGTTAGATTAGGTAGGCTATGGTCGAATGTGAGGATTATTTGCTTTATAATAATTTTGTTTGCTCAGAGGACGCGTTACACACAGCAGAGGAGCCATCACACACCTGCCCTAGGCCTTGATGTAAATACTCTTCTGGTACAGTGTTGAGCAAATTCTTTAATAGACAATTAATAATTCTCTAATTTAGCTTTATATTTTATTCAAAGTTCAGTGACATTAGTAGTAATTTATTCAAGGTGGTGGCGACATATGGCAGACTTTTTCAGGTGACAAGCCCTCAGTGTCCAGTTACCCACAAAAATCCTATCTTCTCTTTTGATGCTCCACGATCACTGAGATTCAGACTCGTGATACCGAAGCAGTAGATGTTGATGCATTATTCTGCTGTCCATAAATGCTTCAGATTCACTAGTCTGTATCTCGGAGGTTCGTGCTTCAGGAGGAGAGCCGATAGGACTTTTGTGGGTGACTGTATCTGCGGTCTCATCCTGTGATAAATTGTAAACAAAGCGCCAACACAAGAAGAAATAAATTAGAAGAGAATATAACACCTTGTAAAAAAACAAACACCTAACTTGGGTGTTTGTAGCGTGAAACAAACGAACCTGATTCAGGGTTTTTGTTCCGGTGTTTCATTGTTAACGAAACACAAAATCTTTTGCCTCGAGAGACACTGTGGTCATAAATACTAATTTTTACAGTCGCTTTGTGTTCAAATGCCTACACGTTTGTTTGACTTTATTTATGTGGGTGATTGTGTCTGTGTTTGTGTGTGTTGGTATATGTACTCTCACACTTGTGTACGTATTTGAATGTGTGCGATTTCGTGTATATGTTATTGTCCGTTCATTCATATGTGTATGGAAATTTGCCTATACATGTATACTGTATATGTGTATAAAAATAGACACTTTATATCACAAGTAAATATAACGTATATTGAATATCACACACTCATATAGTCCAGTACAGCCACCACACACAAATTTAGTTGACTTTGAAATGTGAGAAATAAACTAAAATAAAAGAAACTTCGCTCACAACAACCTCCACAATACTCTCAACTTTATCAGGTGAGGAAAGTTTGTCTAGAAAAAGTCTCCTAATTATTCGTGAAAGTCCCAGGTGGAGTGCAGGACAGGTGAGTTAGTTTAGGGAGGGAAATGGTGCATTGATTATAGAGACGTGTGTGAGGGAGAGGAAACAACTGCTGGGCACTGAGTAAATTGATTGTACTCTACCAGCGACTTACTGAGGTGAAGAGAGAGAAATTATCATCACACACACTCACAAAATATTCATGAGTGTGACTAAAAGGTTGCCTGTGTGTGTGTGTGTGTGTGTGTGTGTGTGTGTGTGTGTGTGTGTTGGCAAGAGCGTGGTTGGGCCAGCACACAAAATATTACACGATATATTACAAAATATTGAAGCCACATTTTGAGTGTAATTTTTCTAGCTCTGCTGAACTCTAACGGCTGAATGTCCTTACCCAGAATGCGTTTTACATTCCCACTTTACAAACTCAATTGTAAAGGCAACTTCTTCATTCCGGGTGTTCTGACTGGCTTAGGATATACCAAGACCCGAATGTCCTTGACGATAATGCTAGAATGTTATTACTGTCTTTCTACAACTAAAGTCATACACATGTAAAAATGATATTAATTACTTCAGTCCATCAACGATTAGAAATTATGAAAGATAAACTCTCGAATGATATTTTCTATGAATGCATATTGATTGTTTGTGATGTGTAGACAATTGTATATAATGAATTTTTATTGCCAATTTGTTCCCATATTTTGAGTTTCCTCTTTCTGAGTCTCTGGTTATATAGAAGACAGTAAGGATCCCTGTGAAGGGTTAAATTATTGACCTTAAAGGGTTGAACTAAAGGTTGAACTATTTTTTTTTCAAGGGATATTCGCCCTTTCAAGATTAACCTTTTGTATGGCAGGCATCTCTCAGCTGAATAAAATCGTACCTAAGTGCGCCACTGCCTTAAAGAGGGTGAAATAGTTGTCCTATAAAGGTTAAATCATCATCCTCAAAGGTTTAAGTCATCGCCATCACAGGGTTAAACCATCTTCAGTCATTCAAGACTTAAACCATAGCCCTAAAAGGATTAAACCATCGTCTTCAAAAGGTTAAACCATCATCAGCAAAAGGTTAAAACCATCATCGATAAAAAGAATGTTGCCTTTACAATCATTTACTTTCTACAAACTCCACCCAACTCACCTCCTGCATAACTCAAAGTTTCCCTCCTATGTTTCAAAGTCCAAGGAACACACGACAATTTTATCTGCCGCAAATGACTTCTGCCTGACACACATAGAGTTTATATGTTAATGTGAAATGAAAACTTGGGGTCACGTGAATATTGGACACCCTAGTATATTTCACTAGATAATTTAACATCCTAACATATCCTAACCTAACCTAACCTAACCTAACCTAACCTAACCTAACCTAACCTAACCTAACCTAACCTAACCTAACCAAACCTAACCTAACCTAACCTAACCTAACCTAACCCAACATAACATAATATACCAAACCATATTTCTACCTCCTTTCAGATTTTTTTTTAATTACTCGTACAAATGTTATCTCTTACTACTCCTCTTGTCTTCTCCCCTACCCTCCTCTCCTTTCTTCCTCCTATCACTTATCTTCTCCCTATCTTCTCTTTCCCTCTCTTATCTTTCTCCTATCTCCCTTTCATCTGCATCATCATCATCATCATCTCCTCCTCCTCCTCCCTTCCCATCTCTCACCCTTCTGTCACTTATCACTTTCCATTTTCTTTCTCTTACCTCTCGTCTCCTTCCTCCTACATCACCGGTACTCAACACTCACCCGCCTGCGGCTGTTGGCGTTGCGGGGCCTGCGGATAGTGAGCTTGCGGGTTATACGACGCATCAGGTTCTCATCTGGCGGTTTTTGGTCCACCATGTCACCCAGGATGATGTTGACCATAGCGTATTCCATGAGTGAGAGGAAGACGAACACTGTGCAGGATGACATGAACATATCGATGGCCTGTTAGGAGAGAGACCAAGGCTTAGACACAGGAGGATTATGACTGGTGTGTGTGTGTGTGTGTGTGTGTGTGTGTGTGTGTGTGTGTGTGTGTGTGTGTGTGTGTGTGGTCATGGCTAAATATAAACAAGGTAAGCGACGTATGATTCTGTATATTGTCTACCCTAACCTTATTATCACCTTCAGATTAAGTCCTTTGTACAGGTGAGTGTCTGTTTGTTTGTGTATATCTCAATTTAGTAAACAAATTCTAAAATAGATAATTGTTTATGTTTAAATTTTGCCTTGTTGTAGAATATAAAGCTTAATAAGCCCCCTAGAACAAGGTAATTTGTGGTTATTTATCTCTCTCTCTCTCTCTCTCACCTTGATGTAAGAGACAGGTGGGAGAGACTTCTGTGAGTTGGCGTGTTGTGTTGAGAGAGTAAGGAGAGATGTGACCCCTAGCGTGACTCTGGCTGGCACTGCCTCGGGTTTAATCCAGAAACTGATCCACGACATGATGACGATGAGGCAGGTGGGGATATAGGTGTGGAACAGGTAGTAACCGAGGCGACGCTTGAAGGTGAACACAACCTCCAGACACGTAAAGTTACCTGTGTATGGGGAACATGGCAGTTAACACAAAGCTCTGTATCATAGCGTATTGTCTTATCATTCGTAAATACATTATACAGACAAATGTGTGATAGGACGAAATCATAACACACACACACACACACACACACAAAACCTGGAATTATACATCTCCCTATAACAAAGTCCAAGTTATATTTATAAGCTATATATCAACAGTAAAACTAACCCAAATATTACTGGCACTACCAATTTATTTAATTCAGGAACAAAACAGTTAATGAGTCAGTATGGTATCAGTGTATCGTGAATATACTGAATATAAAATAGGCTTAATAATAATGCGACTAATACTGACGGGTGCTCCTGTTTATAATGCTCTACTTATTTAATGACCAATGAATATGTCTGTTTATATATATTTATTTAGTTCAAGCGAGAATATTTTGCTATTGTGGACCTCTAAAATTATATCCTTTAATGATGCAGCGGAGAAGAAGAAGAGGGGGAGAGAGACAAAAAAATAAATGATGTATGAGGAAGGGGAGGGAGAGAGAGAGAGAGAGAGAGAGAGAGAGAGAGAGAGAGAGGAGGAAAGTGTAATAAGGAAGAAACAATTAGGAGGAGGAGGAGGTAAGTGGCTCACGAGGTCTTTACTAAATTACAAACTGAAACCATTTAGTGAATTTTTCTATAAAAGGCTGTGTTATTCTTGGTTAGGTTAAGTGAGAAAAATTGGTGAATTAAAAGAAGAATCATACATACATACAAGAGATAAATAATTAAAATCAAGGATGGTAAAAAACACATATTTATATTTATTTTGACATAAACTGAAATAAAAAAAAAGAGAGAGATAAAATTACCAAAGGAATTTTAACAGGAAGAGGACAAAAAAAATGATGAAAACAAAAATCTGTGGAAAAAAAAAATGAAGCCATCATATTTTGGGGAATATTTATGACTAAATAAGAGAGATTAGCGAAGTTTCCCCGCCTCGCTTGCCGGATTTCTTCAGGGTATTTTCCTCCACAAAGTGTGATAACTTGAAACTTAGTTATGGCGACGCTCACACCGGCAGCGTCAAGGCTCTGAAAATGGTGTTGAATTTGGAGCAGATATGAAGTATGAATAATGACCCTTGGTATAAAATATAATAATAATAATAATAATAATAATAATAATAATAATAATAATAATAATAATAAAAATAATAATAATAATAATACAAATAATAATAATAATAATAATAATAATAATAATAATAATAATAATAATAATAATAATAATAATAATAATAATAATAATAATAGCTTGTGGAGTACACCTGTAACCTCACCTGTGGAGAACACCAGTAACCTCACCTGTGGAATACACCTGTGTACAGTCGCCCGTTTCATTAGATACGAGGTCTAGTTGGGGCAGTTCGATTCTCTCGTCCACCTCGAGAGGCACCAGAGGGTCCCACACGAAGATGAGGTCGTCAGTTGTGTGTGAGACTGTGGGGGGAGAGGTGGATGGTTAGATGGCACTGACACAGGTTAATGAGATACAGGTACAGCTACAGGTACAGCTACAGGTACAGCTACAGGTACAGACACAGGTACAGGTACAGGTACAGACACAGGTACAGCTACAGGTACAGACACAGCTACAGGTACAGGTACAGGTACAGACACAGGTACAGGTACAGGTACAGGTACAGGTACAGACACAGGTACAGACACAGGTACAGGTACAGATACAGATACACCTACAGATACAGTTAAAGGTACAGGTACAATATCAACGGATGCCACACAAAGCTGAGAGGTTGTCTAGTGTAGAAACTAAAACTTTGTGAAAGATGCTGACGGTTCTCTGGCTGTAGAAATACTTAACACATCAAAACAACAACAACAGCGGCAATAACAGTAACAAACAACAACAACGACAATAATAACAGCAATACACAACGACAAACATCAGGGACAACGATAACAACAATAACAACAAACAACAATAACAACAAAAACAACAACAAAAACAAGAGGGTAAACAAAGAAACAGATTAAGAAAGTTATATTCGAGTTTAAAAAAGTATTGAAATTAAATGAGGAAACAGACGGAAAGTCGTGGTAACCATAGCAACGAAATTAACAGTAGTCATTACAACAGAAATTAGCAACAGATATTATATTAACAGTAAAACATAAACGGCTTCAACAGAGAATAAAAAAAACACTGGAATTATCAAAAGAGTAAAAATTATACCGATTAGGGCTGATAATTTATCAGGATAATTAACTAGTTAATGAGACTATATATAAATCGAGGGATTTAGGATAATTAACTGAAGAATAATTATTGAGGTAATTAGTGGATAATTACCAGCTAACACAGGAAGAAAGAGACGAAGAAATTAGGTGAACCTATTATATCAAGGTGCCTCTAACACACACACACACACACACACACACACACACACACACACACACACACACACACACACACACACACACGTATTGAATTACTACCACCACCATAAATAAAAATAATAATGATGATATTATTATTATTAGTAGTAGTAGTAGGAATAGTAGTAGTAGTAGTAGTAGTAGAAGTAGTAGTAGTAGTAGTAGGATGGGACCAAGTGCAAGATGTTTCTACGCCAGACTCGCGGAGGTGATCTCCGAACAGAAGCAGCAGCCCAGAAGTTATGTTACAGCCTGGATGAGATGTTGACTGTCTTTCTCTCTCCTTTGGTCGGCTTTGCTCTGCCTCAGGGGAACGAGAGCCTCTGCCCCAATGCCGACAACAGCTGCAGATATTGACTATGAGGCTACAGTCACTGAATGCCGCATAGATCTGTGGCTCAACTAATTCAACACGGATAGGATAGCTACTTATGTATATTTATGTATATTTAATATTAAGGTAATAAAATGGCGGCGAAGGTGTGGCTGTTGGGGGAGACTGGAGGCTACGTCTAAAAAAATAAAAAAAATAAATAAAAAAAAGTAGTAGTAGTAGGAGGAGGAGGAGGAGGAGGAGCTTGCAGCCATTTAACATCAGAACTCTGTCAAGCTCACGGCAGCCCTCACTCAACACATAACCTATAGTTGCTCAAAATGCCCCAACGAGTTACACAAAATTCGACATTCCATTACGACAGAGCGGCAGCACACACAAAGCGAAAAATTTCAACAACTGATGCAATAACTATTAGAGGTAGTGAAAAAAAGGTAACATCTCTACTGATAAAAGGAAAAGTCCATTGTTCTAACTATGGTACGGTTGGCCAGCAGGAAGGCAACAGTCAGTAGTAGTAATAGTAATAGTAGTAGTAGCAATATTATTAGTATATTAATGAAACAAAAATACAATATTAATAAAAATATAAACAAGATAAATATCAAGGTCACTTAAAAAAAAAATTGCCAAAGCCCAAAAAATATTCTCAAATATTCCCTTTCTTCCCAGCTGGTCGCCGCCGCACCGCTGGGAAGAAAGGGATATCTCGCGAAACTGTCATCAGAACAATTAGGCCGACCATTGGGAGGCAATATCAAGAGAAACGACCTTAATTACGGCAAACTCCCTCCCGCTCATGACCTTCCTGGCATATCTGACTTCACTCTCTCCTCACTACCCACCCTACCACAATCTCTGATCTTCACTGTGTCTGATCTTCACTGTGTCTGATCTTCACTATGTCTGATCTTCACTGTGTCTGATCTTCACTATGTCTGATCTTCACTGTGTCTGATCCTCACTATGTCTGATCTTCACTGTGTCTGATCTTCACAGTGTCTGATCTTCACAGTGTCTGATCTTCACTATGTCTGATCTTCACTGTGTCTGATCTTCACTATGTCTGATCTTCACTGTGTCTGATCTTCACTGTGTCTGATCTTCACTGTCTGATCTTCACTGATCTTCACTGTCTGATCTTCACTATGTCTGATCTTCACTGTGTCTGATCTTCACTATGTCTGATCTTCACTGTGTCTGATCTTCACTGTGTCTGATCTTCACTGTGTCTGATCTTCATTGTGTCTGATCTTCACTGTGTCTGATCTTCACTATGTCTGATCTTCACTGTGTCTGATCTTCACTATGTCTGATCTTCACTGTGTCTGATCTTCACTGTGTCTGATCTTCACAGTGTCTGATCTTCACTGTGTCTGATCTTCACTGTCTGATCTTCACTGTGTCTGATCTTCACTATGTCTGATCTTCACTGTGTCTGATCTTCACTGTGTCTGATCTTCACAGTGTCTGATCTTCACTGTGTCTGATCTTCACTGTGTCTGATCGTCACTGTGTCTGATCTTCACTATGTCTGATCTTCACTGTGTCAAATCTCATCCTTCTGATTTTATTTTCCTTTGATCTTTTCTCTGGTGCTCTCATTAGTGTGAATGATAAGAAAGAATGACGTTTAGTGGTTATAAATCGTCACACCAGTTAGAATGAGTGACAGGTAAGGGTGATAACTAATTATAGAGAGATTATCAGCAACATTATAAAGGCCAATCACAAGAAGGGAGAAGATACTGTACCTGTATGTAATAATCACCCTAACTCCCTCCGAAAGCAAGTCATATGTTGATTCCCACTGTGTAAATGTGATGATTGAAACCCACAACATCACAACTACAACCCACAACATCACAACTACAACCCACATCACAACTACAACCCACAACATCACAACTACAACCCACAACATCACAACTACAACCCACAACATCACAACTACAACCCACAACATCACAACTACAACCCACAACATAACAACTACAACCCACAACATCACAACTACAACCCACAACATCACAACTACAACCCACAACACATACAGCTGATATAAAACACGATATTGGATGCAACAGAATATTCTCCATGTACTCACGGCTTTCAATCTTCATGGCGCACTGCTGGGTGTCGTGTGGATAAGACTGGAAGTTCATAGCGCAAGACAGTAACAACGTCAGCCTGTGGGAACACGAGAGGTCAATTAATTTTAACATGGGATACAAATGTTAATATATATGTGTGTGTTTGTGTATGTGTGTGTGTGGGTACCGTTTAGTGTATGTGTGTATCCGTGTGTGGGTATTGTTCAGTGTATGTGTGTGTGTTTGTACCGTTTAGTGTATTATTTGTTTGTTTGTTTATGTAAAAGTATTGTTTGTGTGTCTCTGTTGGCGTGTGAGTATTGCATTTCCATGATGAACAAACTTTACAACTTGACAAATGTCTCAAAAAACCAGAATAAAATATATGTGTGTGTTTATGGTACAGTAACATGAAGCCACAGCTGTCGCCGGCAATAAGTGTGTTAACGACAGTGCCACAGCAACACCTAAATATTCCTTCGAAAAATGTCAAGACTCGCAAGAACTTAACTCCCAGTGGTGGCGTTCGACAGCTGGTGGTGGTGGTGGTGGTGGTGGTGGTGGTGGTGGAGGGACCCCGTGATAGGAGTGTAGGAGGGAGGTGCTGTGTGGTGCTGTGAGAGGCTGATAGAAAGGGAAGAGTCTTTGTCCCTGCCTTGTGATTTGCCGATTATCTCTCTCTCTCTCTCTTAATTGGACACTATGGGAGAGAGCAGTCCGTTATATATGAAATCATTATCTATCTATCTATCTATCTATCTATCTATCTATCTATCTATCTATCTATCTATCTATCTATCAGTCACATCATGAGAGAGACAGACAGACAGACAGACAGCTCGGCCATATAGCAACAAAACACAAACACAAATCTAGAACACAGTGTTGTCAGATATCTCACAGTTGACATTACACACAACATCTGGCTGGAGAAGAGAGAGAGAGAGAGAGAGAGAGAGAGAGAGAGAGAGAGAGAGAGAGAGCCCGGATCACTGTCAGGCACCCATCATCCTTGACTTGCTCGTAAATATTAAACGAGTTAGGACATCAGCACAGTTACCACCATTTCCCCCCCTGGCTTGATCGTGGTCTTTACGGATATGAACCAATATTTACAATGATAAATAACGCCTTCCTCAGAGCCTCTATTGGTGCTCATATATTACTGGATATGAATAGACTTTCGTTGCATCACCTTAACTGTTGGGGTGAAAGACTGATATATAAACTGTTTCATTATTTCATTTATGTATACAATAGGCTTTGTTTTATTTCACACAAAATCCTGTATATTCGTCTTATTTTTAAATGACGTAAACCTCCATTGGGGATTGCCCGTGTCAACTATGTGGTCGTAGTAGCGTTTTACCGAGTCCAGCTGGAAAACAGGAGTCTACTACATATACAGTATATCTCAACGATTCATATGAACGTGAATTTGTCCTTGTGGCGTGGTGGAAACGATCCCTCTTCACATGCAGAGGTCCAGGGTTCGACTCCCGACTAGTGAGGTATTGTTTGTATATGGAAGTCCTCGTGTGTGTATATATATTGAAATCAATTAGGTTAGGTTATGAAAGGTTAGGTTAGATTAGAATAGCGTTAAGGTAGTTAATCTTAACGTGAAATCAGCTTAAAATAATTTAGTTTGTAAAATTTCAGGTTTGAGGAAGAATTCAAGGCGAAAAGTTAAACTGAACTGCTAATGTATGAAGCTTTGGCTGCATTTAGAGAACAATTGGGCTGATTAAGGGAATAAAGGCGATAAATTACCTGGTATCTCTCGAATTACTCTCCATTGTTCTCCAAATCACGTTGCCTTTCACCGAGACAGCCTGACCTAACCCGAACCAGCCCGACCTAACCTGACACAGCCCGACCTAACCCGACACAGCCCGACGTAACCCGACACAGCCTATATGAACCTAGATTATATTAATCAATCCGAATTATCTTAATTTAATGGATTATCCTTAACTAATCTGGATTATCTTAATTACTCGTGTAGGAATTTTACATTGATGACAAGGACCTCAATACATTATAGACAAAACTCCTACCATTAATTCAACATCTCACATGAATCTCATATCATGCTTTTGAAATTCGACTTTCATTTTAACTTTTATTTCTTGTAAATATTTTCAGTCGCTAGGAAAACTTTAGGAAATATGTGTTTACGGTTGTATTGTGACACCTGTGGCACCTGTGATATGTGACACCTGTGGCACCTGTGATACCTGTGATATGTGACACCTGTGATACCTGTGATATGTGACACCTGTGGCACCTGTGATACTTGTGATATGTGACACCTGTGGCACCTGTGATACCTGTGATATGTGACACCTGTGGCACCTGTGATATCTGTGACACCTGTGGCACCTGTGATACCTGTGATATGTGACACCTGTGGCACCTGTGATACTTGTGATATGTGACACCTGTGGCACCTGTGATACCTGTGATATGTGATACCTGTGGCACCTGTGATATCTATAATACCTGTTGGCACCTATATTTAACACCTGGTAATTCACCTGTGGCATACTGTGATACACCTGTGTGACCCCTGTGAACACCGTAGATATCACCTACCTGTGATCATATGTCGTGATTTGATTGGCACCTGTGACCCCTTCCCTACGCGGACAGCCGCTTTGAATATTTTCTTTGATAAACACCAGACAATTTTCTTCAGCTGAGAGGAGAGTCCGTACACAAGGGGTTATATCGTGAGCACAACTCGGATATATCGCTCTGTCTGTTTTCTGTTGGTTACCTGCATAATGTACAGGTATATAGTGAAACCTCTATTTAATGGACACTATGGGAGAGAGTAGTCCGTTATATATGAAACCATTATCTAGCGGACAGTATTCGTTTCATTTAGTTCCTTTATATGGAGGTTTTACTGTATATATATATGAAGGACCCGTAAGAGATGAGCTGCAATTAATAAAACAACTCAGGTAATCTTTTGACACGGGGATTACAAGTGCGCGATTTCGTCAATGAAAAATCTCCTACTCGTTGGATCGGACGTGATGGTCCCATTCCGTGGCCTCCTCGTTCCCTGGACATCACGACTATGGATTTCCTTTTATGTGGCTACGTTAAGGACAAGGTGTATACGATAAAGGTTAATAGCATCACAGAGTTAAGACACAGGATTGAAGAAATTCTGGCTTTCATCACGTTAGATATGTTTCATAACACCTGGAATGAAATCAGCTGCCGCCATGATAATCAACGTGTTACCAAAGGGGCCCAGGTGGAGGTTTACTGAAGGGCTTATGTGTGTCAAATACATGTCAAATGATTACCTGAGTTGCTTTATTAGCAGAAAAATTTGTATGAAGCTTCATCGTCAGGTGATTAAATTATTATAGAAACCCTGTATAACAGTTCCCAGGTATCACTCACCTGTTGATTACTTAATTACATACTTCTTCTTGGTGTAACTCTTACAGTAACACACACACACACACACACACACACACACACACACACACACACATCTAATAAATTCATTAACTTTGCTCCATCATAAATATCTCACTTAAAACTTACAAAGGCAATTATAACGACAACGTCATCAACATTCAGACGCTGGAGCAAAAATTGCATTAATAATGTAATTGAATTATAATTGCAGATGAGTTTATGTTTAGTGATGACCCGAGTTGACTTGGTCGGGCCAGCGGGGGTGTGTCAGCGAAGGGAGGCAGCGGGGAGGGTGTCAGCGGGGGCAGCGGGAGGGTGTCAGTGGGGGCAGCGGGAAAAGCGGGGAGGGTGTCAGCGAGGAGGGCAGCGGAGGTTCTAATTTAACGTTTTAAATTGCTTAATCAAAACACTTTTCTATTTGTTTTTTTTTTACTTTAATTCCATCATGAAATAATTACCTGTTTCTATACCTTATATGACAGGTGTGGAGGAGGTTGGCTTCCGGGGATATTATTACACAGCACAGGTGAGGTCAATGAGTCGAGAAAAAAAAGCACCTGTATCACCTGAAGATTAGACATACCAGCTTATTTCGCCTGGTAACCTAACCTAACTTAACCTAATCTAACCTAACCTTATCCCACTTAACTCTAACACCCTTAACTGATACTACGACTTATTCTTTCATTTACCTTAACATTTTATCTTAACTTTACCATATTTTTTTTTTACACCTTTTAGTTATTATCCTTTGTTACACCTCTTCAATATTACGTTTCCCCGTTTTTCATCTGTCAGAGTTATTTTCACCGTACTGTCATAAAATATACCGAGAATATTCCACCAACCCCTGAAATTATGAGTGAGTATCAAGCATAATAATAATAATAATAATAATAATAATAATAATAATAATAATAATAATAATAATAATAATAATAATAATAATAATAATAATAATAATAATAATAATAATAATAATAATAATAATAATAATAATAATAATAATAATAATAATAATAATAATAATAATAATAATAATAATAATAATCTCTCGGTATATATAAAGCCTTCTGGTGTTTAAAAAGACTAACTTACATCTCCAGTAACTTACAGACAATATAAAGTTTCCAATGTTTTCACCCCGGGGCCCTAAAAAAAAGGAAATATATTCCTGCAAGTAATTAAAACGTTTTGGCTTAGCCCCTTTCTTCTTCCCCTCCAACCTCACCTCACAGTTATCTATGTTCCTTCATGGATGTTATTATGAAGTTGATAATTTCATATATTAAACAGACGAAATAAAAACAATAAATAATTAGGATGAAAATGTTGCAATTTATGAGATAGAATTAATGTTTTACTTTTTTTTTACTTTTTTTTTTATTTATACATATATAATTCTTTCTCTCCCCCATTATTTATCTACATTTTTCTTTCATTATGTTTCTTTCTGTTTGTTTTTCTCTATCACTCTATTTCTCTTATTTTCATTCAGTTTTCCTCTCTCTCTCTCTCTCTCTCTCTCTTATTTTGTTTCTACTCTTTAACTCTCACTTTATCTTTCTAACTCTCCTCTATATATATATCTTTCTTTCTCATCCTCTTCCTTTATCACTTATCTTTTTTATCTTTCTCCTCCTCTATCCC